AAGTTAAAAAAAAAAAAAAAAAACTACCCCAATTTTATTACATAAACATCTCAAATTTATGAATTTTACTTAAAAAAAAAGTCTGAGCTAGACAAAAATGGTATAAGTGGACCTAAATCGAAGAAAATCCAACCTAAATTGAAACTAAACTAGAATTGAGGCGAAATACATTGAATCTAAAAGAAATATTTATAAGTTGAATGTAAAAAATCCAAATGGTTATGGAATGAAACATTGATAGAATTAAATTTTATATTGGACACAATTTAATATAAAAAAATAAAAAGAGTAAATAATCTCTTAAGAATTTAAAAGTTTAAAAGTAAATAGGCTGAATGATTTAGTTGATAGAAACAAGTAATTGAATGAAATTAAATATTAAAAATTGGAAAAATTGGAAGTATTTGTGAGTTTTGAAGTTTTGATGTTAGTGTAATGAAACAAAACACATTTAGCGGTTCGAAAAATTTGTACTTATTTATGCATCAAACACGTCATTAGATAAATAAATAATGATAATTTTGAGAATATAAAAAACAAAATTATAGAAGGAAGGTGGCATAAATGGTGGCATGTGATGATTTTTGTCAAAAAGAGAAGAATTAAGGCCCCACCACCACTACCAATTTTCCATTTTGTTTCCAAAAAAATAATTTTTAGATCTTGAAAAAGGGAAGAAAAAAGAAAAAGAAAAAAAAAAAAAAAGAGTTGGGGATAGTTTGGAATGGAAGCAAGAAGTGTATAAGACAGCCCGTGAGTTGAACCGAGTGATTCGCGCAACTCCAATCCCCATGTTTTCTGCTGCCATTGCTAACCTCATTTTCTTCGAAGACTGTGATTTGTTCGTTTTAGAAAATGGATATAACAAACTCCTGTGATGATTAGATAGAAGAAAGTTTGTGTATATACGTCATGTGTTGCTTCACTTCTTGGGAGATGAAATTCGACCACATTCAACTCAAACCACTCCCGTTTCACACTAAACCAAAGCCATGGGTTTGCTTCAACGTTTAGCCACTCGTGCTAGGTTGTTTGGAGCCAATCACGAGATCGAACACAATTTCAAACTTGTATTAGGAGTCATGATTTTTCACAATGGTATAATATTATCTAATTTGAGTATAAACTTTCCTAACTTTATTTTGGATTTTGTCAAAAAAAGACGGACACCAATAAGGATGTATTACTTACTTATAAATCTAATAAATGGATTTATAAAGAGAATTAAGTATTTGTGGTTTAATATTATGCAAATAGATACTTGGCTCATATATTTTTAAATTTTTAGTCAAATTAAAAATAAAAAATAAAAAATAAAAAATAAAAGTGGTTGGTTTTAAATTTAAATGTTTTAGTTTTGGACAAGTGGCCCAAAATGGGGAAGATCCATTTTAGCGGAGCAAGTAAGGTGGCGAGGTTTTGAGGTATGAGTACCAAAATTTAAAATGAAAGATGTTAACAAGTGGCCCAAATGGGTATTAACATGGCCGACGCCAACGACCAGGTGCTGCAGCTCCTCGGCCTGCGCCCCTCAATGAAGTGCTACACAGTGGAAGGAGTTGGGGTTTCCATTTTTGTCCACTTCTGGTTATTTTTGTCATCCAAACTAATGTCCCATTCCAAGGTGTAATGAATTTGAGGGGGATGTTACATATTACATTTATATCATTATTTGTATTACTTAAGTTTTTCTTAAATCTTAAATATTTTTTAAAAGTAAAAAAAAAAACACCTTTACCAGCAAGAAAATAATTGTGAACTTTGAAAAATGTAGCATTAATATGTTTAAACATATAGAAAAAATGTTTAAAAAGTTGTTATCATTACCATACCAGCAAAATCCGTTTATCTCCCTCTTTGTTTTTCTCTTTTCCCTGCTTCAACTCATGACTCAACAATTCTCATTTTTCATATCTATTTTTCTTCCTGGAATATTCTCTTAATCCTCTTCTTTCACTCCTCCGCTTCTATTTCACTTTTTATTTTAATATTATTAAATATAAGAACCTTAAATAACATAAATATAAGAAAAATCGACACTTAAATAGTCAAGTTAGTTTTTCTCGACTTACCTTCAAAGAAATTGACTATTTGAGTATTGAAGTTTCTTATATTTATGTTCGAAAATGCTTATAAGCGAGAGCTCGTCTTTTTTATTTTAAACTCTAGTACATAAGAAGAGAGAGAAATGAGGTTTTAGAGACAGAAAGGAATAAATGAGAATAAGAGGGTATTTAAGAAAAAATATTAGAAATAAGAAATTATTGATTCATAAGTTGAAATAGAGGAACACGAGAATATAAAAAACAACGATGATCTCTAAGGTATATATACTAACTAATTTCTATCATAGTAATAACTTTTTAATTTTTTTTAGGAGATTGAGAATATTAATATTGCTTTTAAAAGTTCATAGATGATTTTAAAGCCGGTTATTAACCATCTCATTCACATTAAAGGGTATTTTAGTCTAAAATTGTTGATGAAATTTCTTAAAATTTAGAGGTTTTTATTTTTATTTTTTATAAAAGCATAAAGAGTATTAATGAAAAGTTTAAGATTATTTTTTAAATATTTTTAAATTAATTTCAAATTAATTTATGAATTTTTTGAGAAAATAATTTTTTGAATTTTGTTTCCGGTATAATTGAAACAAAACCTCGTATTACTACATTTATTATATTCTAATGTAAAAAATGAGTAAATCTAGTTCAACTAGATGCACGAATTAAGAATTTAGAAATTTGAATAAGAATGAAAACAAGAAAAAAAAAAATGGATAATTTTTGTTATAGTTTAAACAACATTAATCAATACTTGCCGTTTTCTTTGAAACTCGAGATTCATATCTAAGTTTATGAATCTTGAAACGAAGGCTTAATATTAAATAAATTGTTTCATATCAAATAGGCATAAATGAGTATTAATTTTGTTAAAAATACATAATTATTGTTTTTTTTCTTAAATTATACCGTTTAACCGTTATTAAAGTAACATATTAAATATCAACCTCTAAAATAATAACTAATGACTAATGTCTTATCTACGGTAGAGACAACTCTAAAAAAAAAGAATGTGCATAACAAGGTTAGTAATTTTAGAATCCCTATGATCTCGATATAATTTAATTCAATTCACAAACCTTGCGTGATCAAAGAAGCCGCCGCACGGTCTGTGTCTGTGACATCTTACCCTTAGACTTGCATCCGATCCAATGAAGGCTGTTAGTGATCTACAACCCTACACGACAAGAACCACCTCAAAAAAACATCCAACATTCTCATAGATACACCGATTTAAAAGGACA